CCATCCCTGGCTCTAGTGAAGCCACTTCCTAAAGGAGCCTTACACAGCTTGACTAGTTTAAGGATTAGCATCCCACTGGCACAAGAGTGGGTCCGTTTCACACAACTGTGGAATTATTAGGAACAAAAGTGGCCAGTGCCAAAGGGCTAGGGCCTCTTAAACACATGCATCTGTACTAAAAATTCCTGGGAGGCCCAGGACCCAGTCTCATCTCATGGTCACTGGGAGTCAGGCTGTCCTGAGCAGGACAAGTCTCCACAACCCTTTTTCCCCCCTCAAATTTGGAACAGCTTCCATGGTTGAACAAAGGCAGTGTTTGCATAATGGCTGGCCCAGCTCAGTAGTAGACTGGCTGTGCCTCAGTGGCCCTGGTGGATCAAACTCGCAACTCAGCCCAGTCACCCTGGGTTCTAGCTGGCTAACCTAACTGGGAGCAGCCATTCCCAGCTGTGCTCCCAGATCTGAAAGGCCCATCCTTTCCTGAGAAGCCTCTTTTGGGGTTTCAGGAAGGAAGTGGGGACAGAGAAAGGAAACCACAAACTCTTATAACTCTAATAACAGTATCACCTCTTGGTCTGCACCCCCCTTGGGCAGACGCTCTGTGGTGAGGGGGGAGGGTGCTCCCCAGGCTGCATTTCATCCTGAAACCACCCAACGGCTCTGAGAGAGGAGGCCCAGGGTCTGAGCCCAGCTGGCAAAGCCAGGTCCTGGAACCACCAGGTCCCTCTGGCCTGGAGGCCTACAGTTTTGCTCCTACAGCACCCGACAAGAGGCGCTGGTGGTGTCGGCCATGAGTTTCACTCTGCTGACAGAGGTTTCTCTTGAAGGACACTGATCAGGCCAGGGGCCAGCCAGCTCATCCATCCCTGGAAACAGAGAACCCCAACTAGGAAGGGAAAGTAGAACTGTCCACTTCTGTGTCTCTGAAAATAGCTTTATCCAAGGATGGAAGGACCCAACATTGTGCTTCTCACTAATGGGTGAGGGGGTTCCTCGGCTCTGAAAGGACTCCAATGTGGCCTCTTTCCTTTTCCTGCCTGGGCCCCAAACTCTGCCTCCCAGAGCCTCTCATTTTGAAAGCAAAATTTAAAGCCAGAACAAATTCCTCCTCTCTGCAATCCCTGACACCTAGCCCTGAGCCCTAGCCAAGAAGGCTGGTGATTGGCAGGGTCCTTGCTCCCCAAGACCAAGTGGGCAGTACCTGAAAGACTCTTGGGCATAGGCATGAGCTCTTCACCCCTTTTGTAACTGTGGTGACCACCCTGGGAGCCAATTACGCCCCCTTAAGCCTTCTGGGAACACTTAAGTCCTGGGCACAGCAGAAAGGATTAAGTTAATGGAGAAGAGTCATGTTTTTCCAATTAGTTATAAACCACCCATGTTGGAACTTGCGCAAAACTGGCCCTTGCTTTCACATTACCCAAGATTCCTTGTTCCATCTTTCTCCATTAATATGTTCACGAGGGCTTTCAAACAAATTTGGTTCTAAAGGCCCATGACCATGGAATAAACAGGATGCTCACAGAAAAAGGCCTCCCTCCAGCAGAATGCTAACACCAAAAGTCTCATCTTCCGTGAGCCATGCAGTGAGGGAGCAGATGGAAATTCACTTAGATCGACCAAACATTTCCTACATTGGGCTCATTAACACACACCAACGTGTGCAGTTATGTTTATGTTGGAATTGGATATGCATTTTGCTACATGCATACATTTATTTTTTAACAGATTTTTTCCCACTGACATTTCTACCCCATGCCAAGTCTGGTCCAGCCTGCCAAACCGGGGAGATCGAGAGCCCAAGCCAGTGAGCTCATTCTTAAGGAGCCTTGTCAAAAGCCAGAAAGGCAAAGAATGTGGGGAAAGCAGGGAAAACGCTATTCTCACGCCTCCAAAGACAAGGCAGGTCTTGCAATGGGGCAGGGCAGCTCTAGCAGCAGGGGAGTGGGAATGACCAGAAGACCTCTCCGTGATCAGCCAGAAACAGTCCACGTGAGGAGTTTAACAAGATCGCTCTTATTCCCATTTTGCCAGTGAGGAAACAGAGGCTCAGAGGTTGGGTGTCCCAGAAGCCACAGACATTGAGTGGTGGGGGGAACTGGGATTCGAAGCCCTGTTGTCTGGCTTAGAACCCACATTATCCCTTATGTGGTTGTGGTTGTCAGGTCCTTGTGGTGGCCAGAATTCTAAGATGCCTTCCCAACCCCAAAATCCCCACCCCTGGTGTATACACGTGGTTCCCAGTTACCCAATCCAACAGTAGGAAGGGAAACTAGGTGTTGAAGGGAATCTGGAGAGGTCACAGTCCCAAATTAGCTGACCTTGAGACAGACAGGCCTTATCCTATGTGACCTATAAACTGGAGCTTAGAGGTGAGAGGGGGAAATCAGGGATTGGAAGCTCAGGAGGAATTTGACACTTTCTGGCTTGAAGATGGAAGGAGATACAAGGCCAAAGAATGGGGGTGGTCTCTAGGAGCAAAGAGCAACCCCCAACTTGCAGCCAGTGAGGGAATGGGACCGCAGTCCTGCAACCACAAGGAACTGGATTCTGCCAAAAACCCGAATGAGCTTGAAAGCAGATCCTCCCCAGAGCCTCCTACAAATAGCTCAGCCGGCCTAACACTTTCATTTCCATCTAGTGAGGCCTTGAGCAGAAAACCCAACCATGCCGTATCAGACAAGCTGCTGGGCTGGCGGCAATTTGTTATGTGGCACGATGGTCCATAACCAATGGTTCCAAAGCATATGTTCCAGCTCTCACACTGAGCAGAGACTTGGGTTGTCTAGGCCTCCTGGAGCCCCAACACTGCCCCATTGGGCTCCCAGCACATCCTTCGGAGCACTGGTCCTTGTCTACAGGAACCAGGTGAACGCAGTAAGAGAACCTTGGAATTAGAAGATGCTTTCAGGGCCTCACCTGCCTTCTCACTGCCGACCTCAGGGCTAGCAACCCACACGACCCATACCTGTGCTGCCCAGTACCCTACCCGCCCCCCCGCACCGCCACTGGCCATGCAGGGCTGATTACGTTCAAATTCATTAAAATAAAGAATTGAGAATTCAGTTTGGTAGGACTGCCCGACAAAATGGAGGACACCTAGGGAAATTTGAATGCCAAACAATGGATAATTTTTTAGAATAACTAAATCCCAAATAATGTATGGGATATGCTTAAAGAGCATTAGTTTATCTGAAATTCACATTTAACTGGGCAGCCTGTATTTTTTTTTTAAATAAAAGCCACTTTGGTGGGGGTGGGGGGACACAGGAGGGACCAGTTTTAGATCTACAGAAGAATTGTGAAAAAAGTATAGAGTTCCCAACTACCTCACCCCCAGATCCCCCTACTGGTAACATCTTACATTAGTATGGTATATTTGTTGTTGCAAACAATAGACCCAGGTTAAAACATTATTAACTGGGGATGCCTGGGTGGCTCAGCGGTCTGCCTTTGCCTCAGGTCGTGATCCCGGGGTCCTGGGATTGAGTCCCACATCGGGCTCCCCGCAGGGAGCTTGCTTCTCCCTCGGCCTGTGTCTCTGCCTCTGTATCTCTCATCAATAAATAAATTCTTTAAAAAAAATAGAAAATGGGGCAGCTCGGGTGGGACTCAATCCCAGGTTTAGCTCAATCAGTGGTTTAGCGCTACCTTCAGCCCAGGGCCTGATCCTAGAGACACAGGATCGAGTCCCACGTCAGGCTCCCTGCATGGAGCCTCCTTCTCCCTCTGCCTGTGTCTGTGCCTCTCAATCTCTCTGTGTATCTCTCATGAATAAAATCTTAAGTATATATATATATATATATATATATATATATATATATATATATATATGTTACTAACTGAAGTGCATGCTCTTTATAGATTTCTTCTTGTTCTGCACCCTTTCTCTGTGGCAAGTTCCCACATTGCACTGAGATGTACTGTCTTCTTAGGCTCCGCCCCAATTTAAATAACCACATGTGGCTGTGACACTAGCTCACCTTGGCTGTGACAATTTCTCAGACTTTCCTTGTTTTTGATGAGCTTGACAGTTTTGAGGCGTACTGGGGAGGGATTTTGTCAAATGTCCATCAACTAGGATTTTTTCATGTTTTCCTTGTGGTGGAGGGTAGAGCTGGGGTAGAGTAGAGGGAAGGAGTCATTCTCACCACACCCTGCCAAGGGTATATCACACTCTCAACAGGGCTCATCACGGCTGATGTCCACCATGGCCACCTGGCTGAGGTGTGGGGGGCCAGGTTTCTCCACTGGAAAGCTACCCTCCCCCCTACACCTTTCCACAGGATCCTCTTTGGAAAGAAGTCATCATGCACAGCCCACACTTAGGGAATGGGAGGCGTCCTGTATTTACTCCCATTTACTCTGGGTTTACTGAATTCGGCAACCCTATTGGAGGCCCTAGGTGCACGTCAAGTGCTCCATAGCTTCATGAGGCTAGCGGCTACTCTATGGGACAGTGCAGCTCTCTAGTCTAAGTAAAAGCAAACGGGCTACCCAAACACAGATCATTCACCTACTACTAGTGCTATTCTTCACTTAACACTCTCCTTCAGGAAGCCCTGGTGGCCCAGCGGTTTAGCTAGCGCCGCCTTCAGCCGGGGCTGTGATCCTGGATTCGGGATGGAGTCCCGCATCTGACTCCCTGCATGGAGCATGCTTCTCCCTCTGCTTGTGTCTCTGACGCTCTGTCTCTCATGAATAAATAAAATCTTTAAAAAAAAAAAAAAACCACTTTCCTTCAAAGGGACTCACTTTGAAAAAAAAAAAAAAAAAGGAGACCCGAGGGGCACCTGAGTGGCTCAGTTGGTTGAGCGTCTGCCTTTGGCTCAGGTCATGATCCCAGGGTTCTGGGATCAAGCCCTGCATTGATCTCCCTCCTCAGCAGGGAGTCTGCTTCACCCTCTCCCTCCGCCCTCCTCCCCCTACTCTTGCTCTTGCTCACTTTCTCTCAAATAAAATCTTTAAAAATAAAATAAAAGGAGACCTGATATCACTACCTTACGACACCCTAGCAGCGGTCCAGCACCGAGGATGGCCCAGGATGCCCAGGAGCAGCAAGTAGGTGGTCTATCCCGGTTCCTCCGTGGGGGTTTTTTCTCCTCCTCTTCCTCCTCAGAGAAGCTGGGGGATGAGAGGCCCCCTTGTTCCTGGTCCCAAGGGTTCCTGAGTTTTTCATTTGCCCTTTCTCTGGACTCCAGGGTCCCCATCTGAGAAGGCAAAAGGCTCAGTAGTTGACCAGCACTAGGGCGGCTCTGACTTCCACCAGGTGTTCCGGGCCAGGAAGCTATAGGTCTGTGGCTGCTACACCTGGCTGGTTTTAAGACTCATCCGAGGAGCTTTCTAAATGCTTACATTTTCCTAAGCCCTACCCACATGAATTCTAATTAAAGATGTGGGTAGACGAGGTTAAAAGCAGCCCAGGTGGGATGATAATCAGCTACGTGCCATAGCCCTGAGGCCTCTGTGCGGGGACCCCCAGGCTGGGCGGTCCTCTGGGGAAGTCTCTGCACCCAAAGGCAACACAGCGGTGCAGTGGAAGACTCTAGGGTGGGGCCTGGCCCTGAATGACTTTCCCAAACAGGCACCACCTATTTGATGAAAACTGCTGGTTCTGCTTTTTGCTCCTTGGACACAGTCAGATGCCAACAGACCTTTCTGAGAAGAAGCTCCTTTCCATTTCCTTTTTGCCCAGGGGGAAGGGAAGTCCAGTGATTAGGTATGTCCACATGCTGGAGCCTCGTTGTTTCTTCTTTATCATTCTTGCCTGGATCTCTCGTCCCTTGGATCAGGGACACAACCAGACTGCATCTCCTCTGGGTTCTCACCCACAGCATTTGGAGGGGATGAGCTTGGTTTCTTGAGTTCCACAGGTCGCCAGTGGAGAGGAGTGGTGCTCACGGTGGGTTACACTCAAGGCCCACCCACAGCACACTCAGATGATTTAGATGATGAGATTCAGAGAAGACGTAGGGCCTCGGGATAAAGCAAATGCATCTCTGCTTTGGGGACAGACGTGCATTTTGCGGGGACGGAGGGCAGACTGGCTAGGGAGAATGCCTCCCCCGAAGATGTCTGTAGCCTAATCCCTGGAACCTGTGAATGTTACCTTTGCAGACTTTGCAGATGTGATTAGGTGAAGGGCTTTGAGATGGGGGAGGTTATCCTGGTGAGTGTGACTTAATCACAGAAGTTTCTGGAGCTGTAAGCAGGAGGGAGGTCAGAGATGTGAAGACACTGCTCCACTGGAAGCCACCATGTGTCTTTTGTTCACTGTGTGCGTCTCCAGAGCCTGGAACCCAGCAGGTGCTCAGTGAAAGGCAGGCCATTGAGGTGAACATTTTTTGAGCACCTGCTAAGACTGCCATGTGGACACACTACTTCACCTCTCTGACCTCAAGTCACCCCTTTTGGACTGATGACAGAGATAAGGCTTAGAAGTGAAGCCCACTCCCCCCAAGGTCACCGTTAGTTAATAGGCAGTAGAGCAGGGCTTCAAAAAGCAAGACCATCAGAACCCTTTCAACACTGTCCCTCATCCCCCACCTCCAAGATGGCAGGGGCCATAATGGGCAAAACTCCCAGGGTGGACAGCTGTGAGGCTTCTCATGGCCCGTTTCATCCCATCTCATCCCATCTGGGAAAGCACAGGGCGGCGGTGCCCGGGGCTGGCCAGCAGGGGGAGCTAGCACCTAAGTGGAAAGACCAGGAGCTTCCAGAGTAGGCTGGAGGCGGTTCTCCGAGGACAGCCCCTCAAACGGACGGTGCTGGCCCACCTCCCCTACAACGTGGGACCTCAGCTGGCCTGACACCCCTCTCTGCCACAGGCTGCTGGCTGGATGCCCGTGGACGAAGGACTGCATTCCTTTGCAGAGGTGGGGCAGGAGGCGGTGCTGGGGAGATGATAGTCCCAGGGGCATTGACACAATAAAATGAAGAAACATAGGGGAAATCTTCTAGCAGTCCCTGGCATTGTAACTCCTGGTGGAATTTGCATTTTTTTTTTAATCAAAAGATGTTTACAGATTCCCGTAGGGCTGTAATTTCAGATTCTGCCCCAAGTGCATAAATCTGCGGGGGGGGGGCGGGGGGGTGTGCGCTCTGCTGTCTCTCTGCTTTTCCTCCAGCCTTTTCTTAATCAAGGTGTCCCTGTTTGTACTTCGGAAAGTTCTCTCGAACATTCTAGCAAGCACCCTCAGGCTGGTTATAAATTACCCAGGGTGCTCAATTCAAAGGGTGCTTTGAGTTAGGCATGGCTTGTAAGTGCTCCTTTCATTTGAAAACTGTTGTGTGCCAAGTGTAAACTCAAGAGCATTGTTCCCTGTGGGTTTCCTCTGTCCTCCTACCTAAAAAGCAGCCATTTACCCAACATTTACCGACAACCCATGTAGGTTTTGCAAGGCCCTGTGTGGGGCAGAGACAGATAAGACACAATCATCACATCACTGGAAAGCCTTCTCCGAAGGGTACAGAGATACCAACAGATGATTTCAGAACAACGTATGTGCCTATCTATAGAGATCCCCACTGAGAAGGGGCACCTACTTCAGTTCCCACGAACCTACTGGGGAGCATCCTGTGAGGGAAGAACTGGGTCCAGCTCAGAGACTGACCCCCCCAAGGCCAAAGTCAGATGGGAAAGGGCAGGACCAGGACTGGAACTCCTGTGTGGCTAAGCCACTCTCTCCCTTATCCTAAACAGGCACGGGCTCCACTTGCCTGCTAAAATGTAGGTCATTGTGGCTCAAAGTGCATTTCTTCTCTTTCTCCTTGCAAACAGGTAGCTGTTTGGTGAGTTTGGACTGTGGCCTGAGGTTTAGTGACACCAGCCCTAGCCTGTTTGGCAGCCTGACAGCTCTCAGGCTCACGCAGTCATACCTGAGACCTGGGGGGATCTGAATGTGACCCCACAGTGTGTCCATCCCAGCTCTTTCTCTCCTCTAGTATTAAATCATACCCGAACAGGCCAGGGCACAGTACCCTCGACCATGTCACGGGGTCACCGCTTCCCCTTCCTACTTCACCTGATGCATCAGAATTTTGCGGTAAAACTTCAGCTTTACAAGAAGACATAGCAGGAATGACCAGGGAACTCAGTAATCCAAAACCAGCTAAATGAAGGGTATGTGTGTATGTGTGTGTGTGTGTGTGTGTGTTTTCTTCTTCTAATGTAAAGCAGTTCCAAGAAAAGTGAAGTCACGGCCTAGGGTGCTTATTTTCAGTTCTTAGAAAAGAACCAATTTCAAAAGGGAAGCTGGGCGGCTGGAGCACACACAGCCTGCCCTTGTCTGGTGGGGAAGTGGGGTGGGGAGAGCTTGCTGATAAACCAACTGTGATTTGGCACCAGAAACCTAAAACCCCCAACCGAGATGCGTTTTCATTTAGTGATGTCAAGGAGGAAATGCTATGAATTGGTGAGAGCTATTAATATTCAGGGGAGCCACAGGGCTCAGCTAACACGCCCAGGCGGCATGCTTCCAGCACAGAGCCCCTTGGGAGCTGCTGGCAGCCTATGGGGATGGTCAGAAAAACACCAGGCACCCTCTGATTCCACCTCCCACACTCCAACGGAGGTCAGTGCCCAGGCAACCCTATCAAGCTCCATCAGCATTTTTCAACCAGGCATTATTTACCAAAGTTAGGTGAGGACAAGCAGCACAGGAGATGGGAAAGGTTCTCTGCAGCCCAGGGTCCATTTTCTAGCAGAAAAGTGGGTTTCCGGGAAGGGGAAAGCTCGGGAGGGCAGACTTTCAGGCAGGGTCTGGAGGCGCCTACCACACATACACCCAGCTCGAGGACTAGCATTGGGAGCCCTGTAACAACTCTGAAATCATGTTTCAGGTTGAGGATCCTGTAACCGAGATCCCATGGACTATGTCAGAATTAAATATCTGCATAATCAAAGCAACTGGTCAATGTTCCCAGCCAAGAGGAGCCTAAGGAGACATGACGACTAAATATAACGGGATCCTGGACGGGATCCTGGACCAGAAAAAGGACATTATGGAAAAAATGAAGAAAGTCTGAATAAAGTATAGACTTTAATCATAACATCTCAGTGTCAGTTCATTAATTGTAGCAAATATGCCACACTAACGTAAGATGTTAACAATAAAGGAGACTGGCTGTGCTATATGGGAACTCTATGTACCGGCTCTGCAGTTTTTCAGTAGATCTAAAATTATTCTTAAAAAAAAATATTTTTTTAAAGGCAGCTGGTGGCTGTACGAACTCACTCTTCCTCCCAGAAACAATCACTTGGCGCCTGCCGTGTGCCAGGCGCATGTACAGGTGATTTATGTGCATCTTCATTTATTTCTCATATCGGTGCTGGGAGCTGAGGAAAATCTGCATTTTGCAGATGAGGAAATTAAAGCACAGAGATGTAGTTAACTGGCTGACAGCCACACAGCACATTTAAGGACGCATGAACGAATGGCTCATGTTCAGGTCTACCTACTAGAAGGTTCCTGATAAAGCTCGGCAACGTTGCCTGAAAAATCCCTAAACTTTAAACAGAGGCTGGCTCAACACCAAGCTTCAAGCAGTCCAGAAACCCAGATTGGTAATAAAAAGAGTACGCTTTCTAATTTGCCTTACTTTTAGAAGTTTAAAAACATAAAATAGAACTATCAGGAAAAGAAATAAAAAAAAAAAAAAAGAGCAAATCCAAAACACTGACAGCACCAGATGCTGGTGAACATATAGGATAACAGGGACTCTCATACGTGGCTGATGGGAGAGCAAAGCGGTGCAGCCAGTCTGGAAGACAGTGCTAAACAGAGCATGTGTCGTCTCCACCACATTCCTATACTGAAATCTAACCCCCAACATGATGGTATTTGGAGGTGGGGCCTTTGGAGTGATTAGGTCATGAGGGTGGAGCCCCCATGGGTGGGATTAGTGCCCACAGAAGAGGCCCCAGAGAGCTCCATCACCCCTTCTATCATGTGAGGACAGCCACCTATCAACAGGAAGAGGTACCCTGAATCTACTGGCATCTCAGACATCCCAAAGCTTCCAGAACTCTGGAACCATTTTCAGTGGTTTTTAAGCCCTCATCCCCAGTCTATGGGATTTTGTGATAGCAGCATGGATGGCCTGAGACCGTCTGGCAGTGTCGCACAAAGCTAACACAGGTTTCCATACGACCACCAGGTTGTGCTCCCAGGCATTTACTCCAAAGAATTGAGAACAGGTGTCCACACAAAACCTGCACACGAATGTTTGTATCAGCTCTATTCATGACTGGCAAAAATTGGAATCAAAC